TCATCGTAAACCAAAGGAGCATTGACCGTGCTAACCTTTGATTTATACTGTTGCAGACATCATCAGAGCAAGGATCCACACTTTATGGAATAGTACAAGAAAAACGGTGGTAGTCTGCAACCTTTGTCACTTTTTATGCACATATCCTTTCGATCTTAATCAGATATCCCATGATTTGGTTGTATACTTCAAACTTGTTCCGCGTGCTTATGCATAAATGAAGTTGATTTATTAACACGAAGTGGATGTGACGATAGCTGTTTCCTTAACTAAAGTCACTAGAGTACGTGCTATTGTCTAAGGTGGATATGTAATGTTAATGTCATGCGCGGTGTCTTGTCTGTGTCAGCGGTTATATATGCCCACTCTCTCCCTCTCCCGTCTTCGTATGCCTATCCAACATCCATTAGGAGTTCATACTCATTTTTATACACTTTTTCCTCCAATTCTGGGTGTTGGATATTTTTTACATTTATTATAGACTCCCTAATCTTTCAGATCTTTGGAGCCTGGTTTTGTGTTCTGATACCCTCTTTTGAATGGGTCGCCAAGTCGTCCCTCATGTGCACAAAATTTGTAACAATCTGATCAAGAAAGAGAACCCAAAAATTCTCAAAAATAATGTACGATTGAAGGAATCGTTAGTTTATTTTATGTCTTATTCTAATGTTTCACTCGCTCTGTAGGTCACATAAGTTTTTTTGATGCTGAATCAAGTAGAGAGAAATATCTGTCAATACCGCCATAAATAACAATCTCCCCTCTTCTTGTTGTTGAGTATTGAAAGATAGTTTTAAATGAAGCTGAATAAGTAAGTATTTTATAAAACTTCTTATCAGCATAGAGTTCATAACCACTGCTTTAGCCCTAATTGTATGATTCGATTGGAAGAAGAAGATCATTACTAACTTTATAAAGACATAGGAATTCCTTATTAGAAAATACCGGATTTCAAAGATTTTCTGAACTGAGTACAAATTAATCGAGATGTTTTATGCATTATGCTATCTCTATTATTTACAATTATGCTAAATGGGTTACTTGCCTCGTTAATCTTAGTTAAACCATTCGAGTTTGGGGGTCTGTCATCTCGCAGGAAAGTGTGTTCGGTTTAGACTTCTCCAGTTATCCACATTTAATTTATTAATATAAAGCGTATGCGGTGGTAGCTATTTCCTTACAACAATAAATTATTGTCGTAAAGTAAGTTCAGCAACCAAACCAGACGTACGAAATTATGCAATCCCAGTCATTCCTTTCTTCTGTTTTTTTTTAACTTTAATGATCCTAGACTAAGAGTTTATGCCACGTGGTTTTGTAACCTGACTCACATGCTTACAAGTTTGCATCTCGTTATTTCCACCAGAATTGCTTACAAACTATTGCAGTCTCGAGCAGGGCTTTTTCGTAGAATATTAAGCCTTCTTGACCCGAGCATGACATTAAATTTGTGCGCATGGATATTAACGCAAACACTCAAGTAAAAGTACCATGATAACACTGTTGCAAAGAGCCCTAAAGTCCGGCTCTAAGGCATTATATTGGGTCCACAATACTAATTTGTCACTTTCCTTGAGTATATTAATAAAATTAGTAACTTTTCCTTTATTATATGATGAGACTTTGATTTCGTATGAAAGTAGATGCTGAGGGCTGATTTGCGTTGTACTACAGCCGTTTGGCCTTAATACCACGTTCAGGTTGACGCAGTCTACAAAACCTCCTCCCTCGTTTCGGGTGAAAATGAGCTGAGCTCTTGTCCATCATCCGATGGGCATCATTCGAGCTAGAACTTGTTCTTTTAGAAGTTTCCAGCTAACAGTAGATCAAAAATACTGTCCGGCTTTATCTTACGTCTTCCATATACTCATAACTAAAAGCAAAAAGGTATAGACAACTAGATATATAATATATTGGCTAATTTCATATCATATTTGTCAGCTACTTTTACTTGTGTGTGTGTGTGTGTGTGTGTGTGTATTTTAAAGTCTATGCGCATGAGTTTAATGTCAGGCTCGCATGAACAAGGGTTAATGACCTAAGAAAAAACTTTGATCTGGACAGCCTGTAAACAAAGCCTGTTGATAGAATGAGATGCCGGCTTGCAGGCGAGTAAGTCAGGTTATGAAACCACATGTCATAAACTCTTAGTCTAGGCTCTTTAAAGTTTAAAAGTCGAGGAAATGGCATGATTGAGATTGCGTAATCTTGAGAGTCTGGTTTGCTGGATGACCTTAAGCTATGACAATAATTTATTGTGATGAGGAAATGACTATCCATTTCGGGTGCATGAATTAATGTCACTCATCATCAAGTATGTAGATTAGGTTTAAGGCAGCAAACCAAGTCATGGGATGCCTCATTGAGATTGCAAAGCTGGATATAAGAAGTGACTAAGTTCACTCTGCTGCAATCTTCCTTCGTTTTCCGGTGAGATTAAGGCACGATCAACTTCTCCTCGCAACGAACAGTCGTGCCACATAGAATGTTTTGAGGCTTGATTAGCTGCATGCCTGATTGGGTCCCTCAGATTTCACATAACTTGGACATTGCATACGCACAATACTCAATACCGCTATTTGTGTGGATCACACGTCCGATTGTTTTAACTCTACAGGAATACATTTTGGGTGTTGAGCTTACCTCCATTTCGTGTGGAAGTGTTGAGTGAAGAGATTCGAAGGTCGGTTCCACCAGAAGACCATGGCGGATTCCTCTTGACCAGCTGTCGATTGGCTTCACTGGAAGATTCATGCTGACGCTGTTTCCAAAGCAATCTCCTTCGATTCAAGTAAAAAAGTGCTAAGCTTTCTTCTGTCACATCATCAGAGCGAGGTAACATCGTCACAACAAAATTCAAGCTAACGAGTCAAGAAAACTCACCGGCA